AGAAGAGAAAAACAAAATATGAAAAAGAGGAAGAACCTGCAGCTGCCGCAACAACGTCGTCACTCATGGAGTCTCTAGTGTGTAGGATCAGCCTAGTGCTGTAGTAACCGTGAGAGGAATAGAAGTCTGAGAGGGCCATGTCGATGCAGCTCATCCCCATTTTCCCTAACCTGGTTTCCAAGTCAAGAACCACACCCACATTTATCGGGATTGTTGTGTTTTCTGCCGCGGCCAAGGAACTACTAAATAATAAGAAGAGAGGAAAAATAAGGTTGGTAGGATGCTTGAACATGTTTGAATATTCTTTTTGAAGGTTAGAAGGAACTGATGTGCCAAACCAGAGAAAATAAGAAACTTATTTATAGAACAATAAACTTGGTTTCTCAGCGTGCTGACGAGGAAGAGGAAAAGAGGAGGAACCCTCTACTTCATGATTGCCTAAGACGGAGGCAGGAGGAAGTTTCCTCGCAGTGCCGACTGCTGATCTGGAGGGAATAGGAAGAAGTAGAGAAGTTTCATCCTCATTCCTGAATAAAATAAGCTTGTATGGTTTTTCTTCGTTTGAATAAATGAAAAGATTGGACCAAAAACAAGGACTTAATTGAGCAACAAATTTTATTTTTTGTGTGTGTTCATACAAGTAATATTGGAGATGGGAAAATCGAACCTAGAGTCACTTGTGGAGCCAGTGCATGCCCAGAGTGGGCACTGGCCCCCTCTCAAATATTGTTGTACATACAATTTTATGTTAGTATATTGTACAAATATTATATAAAATTCTTCGCAAATTCTTAAATGGCCACTATTTTCTTTGTTTCTCTTTTATTTTCATGTCTAAATTTCTTTTGAATTGCATGTATTTTGTTGCCATAAAAGAGTGATAGGTTATTCACACAAAAAGTAAAGAAAAAAAAATAGAGAAAAGTGATAAAATTAAGAATTTCTTAAATATTAGGTTGATTTGTCATAAAAGAAAGTGTTCGAATTTTTAAAGATGCCCCCTCTTACTTAAATTCCTGGTTCCGAGACTGAGAGCTCGGGTGGAGGTATTCTTAACCACTTGAACTATAAACCATGTGCAATTGAACCAGTATTTTAGATTAGATGAACCTATTATGCCTATCTTAATTGGATTAATTATTTATAAATTCTATAAAGAAAATTAAAGAAATTCATGGCGTATACACAGTCAATGATAGAGTTTCGCCCTAGTTACATCCGTAGCTGCCTCTTGACCAAAGGTGTGACAGTCAAGATCGGCAGCACCTCAGCATCTTAAGATCCAGTTCTGTCATGCACCAGACTTGGTCATGAGTCATGACCTCGTTCAATGAAATTTATAAAAATAAAAATAAAAATAAAAAAGCTGATAAGCCCAATGCAACAGCATCTAATAATAATATTGCTTTAGGTTTAGTAATATACGTGGAAAATAACTTCATTTTAAAAAGGCATATTTACTATAGTTTTTTTTGAAACTTCGGTCAAATTTTACTTCATTATTTTAAAGTTAAAATAACCTATTTAACACCCTTGGCCGTGGTTTCGTGTTCTATCTTATCCTTATAGTTATTTCCATTAATAACTTTATCAGTTTTGATGATGTGGCAGGGCTATTTTAGTCTTTTTATCACAAGTGATGATGTAGAAGGGACCCTTTTCTTATTTCAATAGAATAAAATATAAAATAAAATAAAATAATAATATAATTAGTTTCTTCTCCATCTCTCCCCCATGAACTTCCTCTTCCCTAACTTCATCAACGACCACCTAACCCAAAGCCACCCTCACCACCACATGGTCGAGACTGACACTCCCACCAACGCCACCGTTGAAACGGCAGCGCTACCAAACGACAAGCCGTCGTCCGATACGACTACCAGTGCTTCGTCTCTGCCGGCGAAATCGGAGTAAAAGCGCTGGGCCAACGAGGAGGATGACCTTCCCAAGTTGCCCGGGAAGAAAAACGAAAAGCCTTCTACTTCCTAGCCGGAAGTGAACGTTGCCAAATTGAAGATCACCGAGAAGTAGTTCCTCGACGATCCCGAAGACTAATATTAGTGCCGTATGATCTCTCTCTCTCCGAAATTTTCAATTTTCTTTTTAATTAGGGCTTTAATGCAAATTACAATAGGGCTAGGGTTATTGGGTCATTTTGTTAATAATTTTGGGGATTTAAGAAGCCCAGTAAAGTCCAAGCAATTACTTTGCCCATGATTTTGCTTAGACTCATAATGGTCGTTAGTTAGGAGAGAAGGAGGTCATGGGAGAGAGATGGAGAAGAAAGACTTTTATTTATTTATTTATTAATTTTTTATATTTTTAATTAAACAAGTAATATATTATTTATTTTTATTATATATTTTATTCCACTTAAACAAAAAAAAAGGTGGGCTCTTCACATGACACGTTATCACTTGTGGTAAAAAGACTAAAATAGTCTTGCCACATCATCAAAACTAACAAAGTTATTAATAGAGATAACGGTGATGGGTAAAATTGAACACGAAACCACAGTCAATGGGGTTAGTGGGCCACTTTAACTTTAAGGAGGTAAAGTGAGATTTGATCAAAGTTTTAGTGAGGTATTACAGTAAATAAGCCTTTTAAATATGGATTAGCTATAGTAAACCCTCTAAACTATGGAGGTTATTAAGGAAGTTAAGATTCCACTCTAAAATCAATTGGCAATGCGGGGAATAACCCAACTCCTTATAAACCTAGGCTAGGTCTCTTAACTTTTCAAAGTATGGCAAATACTCTCAACATGCCTCCGCATTTGTGGCAAACTTTCAAACCTAACACATGGACAATATATATTAGGTGACGTGAGAGCATGTGTAGCCATTGAACCTAACACGTGAAGCCTTGCTTTAATACCATGAAGGAAGTTGAGGTACAAACTCATACCAACCTTTAAAGACCCGTTTGACTAATACTCCAACTTATAGAAACCCTTCAAATGAGACCATATGTTATCTTAGTCCTATTTTCCTGTTACCTTTTTGCATGTGCCTTCCCTATTACCCTTCTAATTTATTGACACCTATCTCTACGCCAACTTCAAACATAACAGTCTTAATGCTTTTAATAAATTAAAACATAAAAAAAAAATAATAAAAATAGGGGGGGGGGGGGGGGGGAAAAGAAAAAAAAAAAAAAAAAAAAAAAAAAAAAAAAGCACCACCAACCCCACCCACCCACCAACACCACCACCCACCACCCACACCACCAACCCACCACCACCCAACCCGGTTAGCCATTCCACCTTGCTAACGGCAACCCCTCTCCTAGCGGCCACCAACAACAACCCCTCTTCTCTTCTTTGCCCTCCCTCTTTATCAAGCAACACCAAACTCATAAATATGATATCTTTTTTATCCATGGCCAAAACCAACAATCCTTTCTCCATGTCATTTCCCTTCTCTGTCCTTAACCCAACAACATCAAGAAAAATAAGGAAAAAGAACAACATGGCAACACCAAATGTGAGAACTAGTAAATCCATATATGGATCTTAAGAATATTGAGAATATGTGTGTTCCTTGTTTTCTTGTCTTGAGATGCAATGAAAATGAAGGCTTTAACATCCTACAATTTTGAAGGCTTTAACACAACATGGTTCATTGCACATAACATCCTACAATTTTGAAGTTCTTTATGTCATTCTTGTTTGAGCTTCAACAAATGAGATTGACTATGTTGTTGGGGTTTTGAGTTTGGGAAATAAAATGGTAAAGTGGGAAAAGAAAGAGAGAGAAAGGGAGATAGAGATAATGAGGTGTTTCTGACGACAAGGAGGAGACGGGTTATGGCTAGTGAGATGGGGTGGCTGACTAGGTTGGATGGGTAAGGGGGTTGTCTAAGGTTGCAAGGGTGGATGGTGTAACATCCCGACCCAATTTTAACCATTTATTTAATCTATATAAATTATTTGATTTATTTAATTGAGAAATTACAATTTTGCCCTCGGAGTAAGGTCACGATTGTCACTTTTTGATCCGTAAGGATTTTTGGGATTTGAGTAGCACCATTGCATAGAGCACGTCGATACAATTTCGTTGACACGTAGTGGGCTCAAATCGGAGTTTTAACAAAAAAGTTACGATCAATGGAAGTGCAGTGGCACAACCTTTTTAAAAATCAGCACAGCTCTCTCTCTCTCTCTCTCTCTCTCTCTCTCTCTCTCTCTCTCTCTCTCTCTCTCTCCTGCTGGCAGCACCTCTAGTTGGCCACGTTTTGGCCGGCCACCACCACATCCAGCCACCGTTGGCCACGAGACTGGTACCAAAACGACAGGCTCAGCTTCCTCTTCCCGACCCACCCCACCTTCGCCGAAACTCGACTGCACAGCCATCGGAAAAGGGGAAAAACCTTCGGATTTTAAGTAAATTTTTCGTCATCGATTTCAATTATTTCGGCTACCAAATTTGTCGATCGAGGTATGCTTTCTCATCCTTTCAACATGCTCTAGCTGATGGTTGGGTTGGTCAAGATTGATTTTGAAGTATTGAAACTCGTTTTACAACTCAAAGTTTTGGCAAGTTTTTGGCTCGAGGTTCCTGCAAGTTCTGGTTACTTTTTGGTCGTGGTCCAAGAACAAAATTGCTCCACTCGTTGTCCTAATCATGTAGGTATAGATATTGATTGGTGTGTCGAGAATTTTCCAGTCACCGAAATTTTCTCAAGACACCCATGTGCTGTCGGCGAGTGTGGCGGCTCATGGGCCTTGTTTGGGTGACCTATTTGCTCCTAAAATGATCCCTATGTCGTCCCAATCATGAAGGTATGCTCGGATTTGATTTTGGTTATTGTTTGGCGGTCAATCAGATTTACGCATATCAAGCGTTATCTGGGTTTGATATGTTCGAATTCAAGTCAGTTTCATTTATTGTTTATACACTGCATTCTGTATTACAGTTTATTGTAAATTCTATTTATATAATTATTTTAATTAGTCACTGATTGTTGTTTTTCCAACAATCTAAAGACAGTATACGATGGATTCACAATCATCAGTGACTGTGAATGGGGTGACTAAGAATCCTCATGACGAGAAGCCTGAGAAGTTCAAGGGAATTGACTTCAAGAGATGGCAACAGAAGATGTTGTTTTATCTCACAACCATGAATCTGGCACATGTTGTCAGAGAGGAGGCTCCCAAATCAGGAGAAATTCCAATGTCTAAGGAAACAATGATGACCATTGAGGCTTGGAAACAATCTGATTTCCTGTGCAGAAACTACATCCTTAACAGGCTTGATGATACTCTGTATGACATTTATTCGTCATACAATTCTGCAAAGGAAGTTTGGGAATTACTTGAGAAAAAATACAAAACAGAAGATGCTGGTGCCAAAAAGTTCGTGATTGGCAAATTTCTCAAGTATGCCATGGTTGATTCGAAGACTGTTATTAAACAGGTTGAAGAACTTCAAATTCTGATCCATGATTTGCTTGCAGAGGGGTGCTCTATTAATGAACAATTCCAGGTTGGAGCAATCATAGAGAAACTGCCTCCATCATGGAAAGACTTCAAAATTTACTTGAAGCACAAGCGCAGAGAGATGTCTATGGAGGATCTGATTTTGAGGTTTCGAGTTGAGGAGGATCACAGGAAAGGTGACAAGGGTGAAGTGCCTGTCATGGAAGCCAAAGCCAATGTCGTTGAGACATCAAAGCCAAAATTCCAGAATAACAAGGGCAAGAAAGTTGCAAAGAACTATGGCAAAACTCATGCACCAAAAGGCAAGGGTTTCAAGAAAATCAAAGGTGCTTGCTGGGTATGTGAAAAACCAGGGCATAAAGCACAAGATTGCCGCCACCGAAGAGACCAAAATCCAACCAATCCTCAAGCCAACGTGACTGAAGTCAATGAACATTTTGTGGCTGTAGTGTCTGAAACCAATCTGGTTTCTGATACTAAGGACTGGTGGGTTGATACAGGTGCTACTAGGCACATTTGTGGTGACAGAAATCTGTTCACTGATTACAAACAGAATTCTAGTGGTGAGAAACTGTACATGGGAAATGCCTCTGCATCTGCAGTTGAAGGCAAAGGCAGTGTGCTGCTGAAGTTCACTTCTGGGAAGGTTTTAACCCTTTTGGATGTGCTGCATGTTCCTGAAATTAGGAAGAACTTAGTGTCTGGCCCAATTCTTAGTAAGAAGGGTTTCAAACTTGTATTTGAATCTGACAAGTTCATCCTAACCAAAGGAGGGCTGTTTGTAGGAAAGGGTTACCTTGCTGATGGCTTGTTCAAACTCAACGTAACTGGCAATGATGCTTTTAATAATAATATAAATAAGGTTCCCGTTTACTTTGCTGAGTCTTCTAATATTTGGCATGCTAAATTAGGTCATGTAAATTATCGATCTATGCATAGAATGATGCATCTAGGTTTATTGCCTAAATTTGATATTGACTTTGATAATAAGTGTGAAACTTGTACAGAATCCAAGTTTTCTAGGCAAACCTTTAAATCTGTTCAAGGAAGATCAAATGAATTACTTGGATTAATTCATAGTGACCTTTGTGACTTTAAATCTACACCAACTCGTGGTGGGAAAAATTATTATATAACATTTATAGATGATTGCAGTAAGTATTGTTATGTATACTTAATACATAGCAAGGATAAAGCCTTACAGATGTTTAAGACATACAAGGCAGAAGTTGAGAATCAACTTGATAGAAAAGTGAAAGTACTTAGATCAGATAGAGGTGGAGAATATGAGTCCACTGCATTTTCTGATTTTTGTGCAACTCATGGAATTATACATCAAACCACTGCACCATATACACCGCAACAAAACGGTGTAGCAGAAAGGAAAAATAGAACTTTCAAGGATATGATAAATTCCATGTTGAATAGCTCTGGGCTTCCACACAATCTGTGGGGTGAAGCCTTACTTACTGCAAATCACATCTTGAACAGAATTCCACATAAGAAGAGTAAACAATCTCCTTATGAAATGTGGAAAGGACGAATTCCTACATACAAGACACTGAAAGTGTGGGGTTGCCTAGCTAAAGTACAAGTACCCTTACCAAAAAGGGTAAAACTTGGACCTAAAACTATTGATTGTGTTTTCATAGGTTTTGCTAACACAAGTGCTGCATATAGATTTTAGTTATTAAATCTGATATTTCTGTTGATGCTGATTTCTTTGAGGAAATTTTTCCTTACAAAGAAAAGAGGTCTGGTTCAAACAAAAGGAAAGTACATGATGGAAATCCTGATGAACCATCCTCTTCAGGTGTCCAAGAAAAGGAAGTGGAACCTAGAAGAGGAAAGAGAACTAAAACACCAAAAAGTTTTGGACCAGATTTTGTAAGTTTCTTGACTGAAGAAGAACCACAAACTTATAAGGAAGCTATGGCTTCACCTGAGGCTCCTTTATGGAAGGAAGCTGTTAATAGCGAAGTAGAATCCATTATGCAGAACCATACGTGGGAATTGGTTGATTTACCACCTGGTAACAAACCAATTGGATATAAATGGATTTTTAAAAGAAAGCTAAAAGCCGATGGTACTATTGATTAATACAGGGCACGTTTAGTTGCTAAAGGGTATCGGCAAAAGGAAGGGTTGGATTATTTCGACACTTATTCTCCAGTATCAAGAATTACATCTATAAGGATGTTAATTGCTATAGCTGCAATACACAATATGGACATACATCAAATGGATGTAAAACAGCTTTCTTAAATGGGGAATTAGATGAAGAAATATACATGGAACAACCAGAAGGTTTTGTGGTAAAAGGTCAAGAAACTAAAGTCTGTAAACTTTTTAAGTCTTTATATGGACTTAAACAAGCACCAAAACAATGGCATCAAAAGTTTGATCATACAATGATGTCACACGGATTTAAGATCAATGAATGTGACAAGTGTGTTTACATAAAAAACAACAAGAATTCTTGTGTTCTTGTATGTTTATATATTGATGACATGCTCATAATGGGAACGAGTAAGGATGCGATAAATTCTACAAAGAAGATGTTGAATTCAAGTTTTGACATGAAAGACTTAGGTCAAACTGATGTCATATTGGGAATTCAAATCAAAAGAAATAATGATGGGTATATTCTTACTCAATCCCATTATGCAGAAAAAAAATTTAAGAAAGTTTGGTCAATTTGACTGCAAACCTGCTGTGACTCCTTTTGATGTAAATTGCAAGTTAAAAAAGAATAGTGGAGATGCAATTTCCCAATTGGAGTATTCCCAAGTAATTGGGAGCCTAATGTATTTAATGAATTCTACTAGGCCAGACTTAGCTTATTCAGTAAGCAGGCTTAGTAGATACACAAGCAATCCTGGACATGATCATTGGGAGGCACTAATAAAGGTGCTAAGATATTTGAAATACACCCAAGACTATGGATTGCACTACACTAGATATCCACCAGTTCTAGAAGGCTATAGTGATGCAAATTGGATTTCTGACAGTACAGAAACCAAATCAACTAGTGGATATGTATTTACATTAGGTGGAGCTGCATTATCTTGGAAATCCTCTAAACAGACGTGTATAGCACGCTCTACAATGGAATCAGAGTTTGTAGCCTTAGATAAAGCTGCTGAAGAAGCAGAATGGCTAAGAAACTTCCTAGAGGACATTCCAATGTGGCCTAAGCCTGTGACAGCAATTTGTATACATTGTGATAGTATGGCAGCACAAGCAAGAGCCAAGAGTGGTGTATACAATGGAAAGTCAAGACATATCAGGCGTAGGCATAATACAATTAGACAATTGCTCTCAAATGGAATTATATCCATTGACTATGTGAAGTCAAAGGAAAATATTGCAGATCCTTTGACAAAAGGCCTACCAAGAGAGCAAATCAAATTTACATCGAGGGGAATGGGATTGAAGCCAATCCAATGAATCAAACCTGCGGAAACCTAACCTAGTTGATTGGAGATCCCATGGTCTAGGTTCAATAGGCAAACTGGTTGGGTAAGATTCAAAAGTTGAACACACAATTTATCTCATTCCTATGATGATTAGTGTGTTGTCCGTTGACGTGAAGGTTATGCTTTGCATTTAATGACACTAATATCTTATTAAGAGGAGTTTAGGCAGAAAACTCTCAATTGGTGTCACCTATATGGGAGTAAATGTGGGGTCGCATTTATGAGAACGAAAAATAAAAGGCTAAGTTCTCTAAAGCTCTCATGAAACCTGGGATATGTTGAGGACCAAAATGAACAAAAACGTATGAACTAACGTTTGTTAAGATGTTATATGTGTGAGACATATTGTCTAGGTTTACTATAACGGTGAACAGTTCAAGATCAACTATATCCACTGCGTCATCAAGTAAATCCGATATGTTTTCACTAGGGTAAGTTCAAGTCCAAAAGACACTTTTCCTGATGTATATAACATCTGTTTCCTCTCAAATGCATTACATACATTTAGCAGTAAAAGCATAACATTTCAAATGTGGGGTCTAGAATTTCGATTCAAATGTGGGGTATTGTTGGAAGTTTGAATGAAATTCAAGAACCTTTGTCCCACATTGGTAGAAAGTAGAAAGAGTGAGGTCTTTATAAGTGTGGAAGTGCCACACTTAGTAAATGAAAGTAGGCCAAGTGGAAGCAATTTGGGCTTCAAAATCAATTTGGGCTTTGAATATTATATAAAAATATATAATATTTAATGGTCAAAAAGATGGGCCTTGGGCCTTGGGGCACTTTCAGATTTAAAATTATTTTTTGGTTTCGAATTAATAATTTTTTATTAATTCGGATTAGTTTTATTAACTGTTTTCTAACAGTTGTGACTCTTCTTATAAGGTTTTAGAAGTTTATTTAAACCAAACAAGGCCTCATACGTTAAACACAGAAAAAGTATTCACAAGCATCTCATCTTGTCTGAGAGGAAAACAAACAACGTTCGCCAGATTCTAAGTCCGAGTGCTAGGGCTTAGAATACAGATAGTTGAATCATAGGAGACAGTCACCTGTAGAACTTCAAGCACCGAGAAGGGGTGAAATTACTGTCTTTAGGACATTGCATCAAATCTGCAAGCCTCTATCTCGAATTCAAGTCAGTTTCATTTATTGTTTATATACTGCATTCTGTATTACAGTTTATTGTAAATTCTATTTATATAATTATTTTAATTAGTCACTGATTGTTGTTTTTCCAACACTCAGCACCTCATGTGCATCTTTATTTTAGTGAAGTGCTTGAAGTGTCATTATGTTGTCATGCCTTAACCTTCTCAGCATGGCTGAGTTTAAGGCATCAAGAAGTGTTTGAAAAATCTGTTGAGGTTTTCATATGAAAAATGTAGTATACACGTTGGAAATAAACAGTTCGAGAGGAATTATAACTAGAGACATAAAATTTTTATGTTGAGGATTGGAGAAAGGTGTTTTTCATTGCAGAAACACGCTTTTGCTGAAAAATTTCTGGTTTTTTCTTTTTTTACTTTGTTCATGACTGAGTTCATCTAGAGAGTTCACCATTTTACACTTGTTGATCCCCTCAACGTCTCAGTGGTTTAGTGTATAGATAAGTCATTGTGGATTTGACATTGCTTGGTGAGTGTAGAGCAAATAGAAATATTTGTTGTTCCAATATATGACCGCACAAAAGTAAGAGTTTCCCTAGATAGATGTGTTCTATTGTATGATAAAACTCTTTTGAGCATGATATTATTTATTTTTCTTGTTTTGAAGCTTTTAGAATGAGGTGAGCTTTATGTTTATATTAGAGTTCATGTCTACTGGTTGCTCTGTTGGTTTTGGGATTTGTGGCAGACCCTGTATGTAAGGTTTGTTAGATGAGTTTTACCTACCTGACAGATTGTTGAGAATTGCAAAATGTCTTACTGATTTACAAAACGTTTTGAATAAGTCGACACTGCCCCATGGTAGAATATTATTTTGAAGCAAAGTGCTAGTGATTGTCAGGATTTATTAAATGGGGGGTGGGTGATTCCAGTGAATCGCGGTGGATGAGCTTAATGGTCAACCCCTGTTTGCCTGGTGGCTCTTGGCAGCAAGCAAGAAATAGCCATTGATTCTGTTCCAGATAAGATAACCTTTTAAAGATACAATTTGGTTATTGCCAACCAAAAAATAAAAATAAAATAAAATAAAATTTTGGACTTGTGGCAATTGAAAGAGAGATAGGAAGAAACTGAGAAATTATTTTGTGAACAAGGACAAGTTGCAGAGGAATTTAAAGATGTAGGGTTGTCGTGTAATGTTGCGAAGGTTAAGGGGGGGAAGTGCAATTCAGAACTTACCAAGGCAGTTACGAAATTTCGAGGATGAAATTTTTATAAGGAGGGTAGGTTATAACATCCCAACCCAATTTTAACCATTTATTTAATCTATATAAATTATTTGATTTATTTAATGGAGAAATTACAATTTTGCCCTCGGAGTAAAGTCATGATAGTCACTTTCTGATCCATAAGATTTGTGGGATTTGAGTAGCACCATTACATAAAGCACGTCAATACGAGTTCGTAAACACATAGTGGGCTCAAATCAGAGTTTTAACGGAAAAGTTACGATCAACGGAAGTGTTGTGGCATAATCGTAAATATTTTGAAGTCATATTTTAAAAAAATCTGCACAGCTCTCTCTCTCTCCCCCAGATACCTCCCACCCTCTCTCGCGGGCAGCACCTCCAGTGAGCCACGTTTCGGTCGGCCACCACCACATCCAGCCACCGTTGGCTATGAGGCCGATATCAAAATTTGGGTGACCCGTTTTGTCCTAAAATGATCCCCATGTCTTTTCAAGCACGACGGTATGCTCGGATTTGATTTTGGTTATCATTTGGCGAACGATTGGATGTACGCATATTAGCCGTTATCCAGGTTTGATATGTTTGAACCCTTGGATCGACTCCATTTCCAAATATGTTGATATAGGTACCTCTAGAATCGTGTAGGAATTCGTGAATCGAGAATCGGAGTTCCGGATGCTCCGATTCAATGACCTAAAGTTAGCGTAAAAGGTGACCATTTGATCATGCGATCGCAAGCGATCCGACCGCTTGATCTAGACCAAACTTGTCGGATGTGTTTAGTAAACTTTGTTGAACCCCTAGGAACTTTTGGGTCGGAAATCGGAGGTTGTGGGCCCGTGGGCCCAGTTGACCAATATGAGAAGTTTGACCCCTCTTTGTCTAGACCAAGTTCAAGCCTACTAACGAGACCGTGAGAGTTCACGTTCCAGAGGAAGTGTTTGGCACTGACCATGGTACCTACCTCTTGTGGGAAGATATTTTACAATTTGGTTCCATGGCTGAGATTGGATCCACTGTGATTGTAGTATACATGAGGTAATTCTAGAAATCCATTTTATTTTTTTACATTTCCCTTTCTTTAAATTAAAATCTCATTTAATTGAATTTCATATATTTAGTTACCTATTTGACTATTTTAAAATGGCAAATATGGTAAACCTTGTTGGCCTTTTGGACCCTGGACAAATTAGCTCTTAATCTGGAATGTTATCTTACCATTCAAAACATCTCTCTGACCGCTTGAAAAACGCAGATGGGGATCAATTTTACTTGGTGCCTTATAATCCAGGGTTAGTCCCCTAACTATACTTTGTGCCTTCCAATTGGGATGTAGTGTATTTAACTATATGGATCATTATGTGTAGGGGTCATTGGGTGTTAATAACTGTGAGACCAGCTAAGGAGACTGTCTATTACATGGATTCATTGTCAAACCGTTCTGTTGACGAGGACATGAGAAATATAGTGAATACGTAAGTTTATTTATCAAAATATGAGATTTTTTTATTTCTGCATTTGAATGATACAACGGCTTTTTCTAATACCGACATTATAATGAAAACACAACGACGGTAATTTTTCACCGACGTTTGAAACCATTTACAACGTCAGTATTTTTTGTGAACCGTCATCTTAATTGAACTACCACGTCGTTTGTGTTTTTCATTTAAGGACGTTTTAATTTTTTCTGTTCAACTTTCATTTACAAAAAACTTTTGTTTATACGTCGTTTTTCGTTGTCACCGACATTTGAATGATATAAAACGACGGGTTTTATTTTCCGACGTTTGAAAAGAAATACGATGTCACTTTTTTCACAAAACCGTCGTCGTCACTTATTTACCACGACAGTTAATATTTCTTATTTAGATTTTTAGTTTTGTCATGAACAAATTTTTTTTTCTTGAAACAGTTCAATCAAAATGTATAACTCCCACACAGGCAAACAATCATCTCGTAAATAAGCCATATGGAAAAATCTACATGGCACTCCTCGACAACCAACAAATGTGGAGTGTGGCTATTACGTGATGTGTTTCATAAGAGATATAATTCATGATCCATGCCTAGCATTTGAGAAGAATGTAAAATTTAAGATATAATTTCTTTATTTTAATACCACGACTTTTTCTTTAAAAAACCGTCGTTTTAATTCTTATAACGCGTCAGTTTTTGTTCTTTATTTGCAGTTTGACTAGAAAAAAGAACCAATTCAGTATGTACAACAACATATTGACGTTGTCAGGCTGGAATGGGCAGAATTCGTTAACAAGAAATTACAGAATAATAAGTGATGTAATTTATTTTAACTTATTGACAATGTACATAAATATATTTTTGGTAATTAATTGAACAATCATAAAAACAATCAAATTTTTTTTCAAATTTTTATTAAGGATATTTATGTCGTTACATGAAAATAACTCATAAAAACTTAAATTAACTCCCAAAAACCAATGTCTCATTCTAATTTACATGTACTGGTAAAAAAAAAACCCTTGCGCGACCAAATTTTGCTCGACGAAAAATAATTCGTCGCTCAAAGTCTTACGTGACTAAATTTTACGCAACGAAACACTCATCGCCGCACAAAGTCTCTTTGCACAACA